AAGGAAAGGACATGTAATATATCACCCAATGTGGAAGAAATGACTATTGTCAAAGCTCATAGAACTCATAAACTTTATAGACCATGATAAAGGCAATTTGCCCCATGGGGGGGGAAATGTCAAGTCTGAGCTCTTCATAAAAGGATATACTCTAAAATACATTTTTCAGAATTCATGGTTATAAATGCTAATTCATTTGATACATTCCTTTGTCACTAATAAAATGCATGTAAACAAACAAAAAAAAAGAGTAGGGCCTCCTGTGTTAGGAATAAGATGAGAGCAAAGATGAGAGCAGCCTACCTGCTCTGTGTGCTTGCTTGCTTGTCAGATTTATAGCTGACGTTGCACCTTACTGCAGAAGTACGAAGTGCAGTGTTTATTGTTGTGACTCCAGTGGTTCTTGGAGAGTGTATTTATAACAGTATGAGGACAATGGGCAGCAAACATGAGGCCAGCCAGTAAGAATGTGGAAGAATTAGGTCAAAGAGTTTCAATGTCCATACTTTTGTGCACAGATGCGCTGGTCCTGGAGTTAAACTCTGGGCCTGGGCACTGTCCCTGAGCTTTATTACCCAAGGCTAGTACTCTACCATTTGAACCACAGCTCCATTTCTATGCTTTTGGAGGTTATTGGAGATAAGAGTTCAGGCTTCAAAGCTTAGTCCTCAGTTCTTAGATCTTCTTGAGTAGGATTACAAGGGTAAGGGTACCTTGCCCAGTGTCCTTTCTTCATAGAGCTTCTTTTGTTTCTTGTTTCAGAAGGGTTGACTATTGTCACAACAGCGAAATAATATAAAACCACTTCTTTGACCCCTTATTTCCCACAGCATTAACCATTAATGGTAGTCTAATTTTGTTGTAGTCTTTGATCTGCTTTCAGTTTAGTTAAAAAACATATTTAAGACTAAACAAGACAGAGATGATACTTATAGTGGCAATAACTCTTCTTTTTAAGTTTCCTAGAATATCTCAGTAGAATTTGACAAATCTAATAGGCATTTCTCTTAACACTTAAAATCATCTACTCTTGGGCTGGAAATGCGGCTTAGTGGTAAAGTGCTTGCCTACACGCGTGAAGTCCTTGGTTCAATTCCTCAGTACCACAAAACAGAAAAAGTCAGAAATGGCACTGTGGCTTAAATGGTAGAGTGCTAGCTTTGAGCAAATGAAGCTCAGGGACAGTGCCCAGGCCCTGAGTTCAAGCCCCATGACTGGACCAAAAAAGGAAAAAAAAATCTGTTCTGGCTGGTTTGCATAACAATATCTTCTCCTGGAAAATATACATTATATTTCTTTGAGCAGACATTCTGTGTGTTTTTGTTTTGTTTTGTTTTGTTTTTTCAGTCCTGGTCCTGGAACTTGAACTTAGAGCCTGAGCTCTATCCCTGAGCTTTTTTGCTCAAGGAGAGTACTAGGATTATGAGGGTGAACCACCACTGCCCAACCTGAACAGTTTTTGACTTCTGAGTTGTATCAGGACTTAAAAAGATAACTGAAAACAAAAAACAAAACAAAACAAAAGATAACTGAAAGAACTTGTTATTGAAATAGTCAATATGACTATATATTATCTACCTACCTATCTATGCATAATATAAGAGTTTATTTATTAAATTCCAAATGGACTGATACAAATAATCCACACTGGGATTTGGAAGAGTAAGGATCTTTATGAATGTAGGGCTTAATGAATGGAAAGGAACAAAGGAAGCAAAGTTAAAAAGAGACAAGCCTCTTATGGATGATTTAACTGCATAATATGCATGATTTGGTTGCCTTGTTATTAGAAACAAAAGCTTTTTTTTTTTTTTTTTTTTTGGGTCATGGGTCTTGAACTCTGGGCTTGGACACTGTCCCTTGTGCTCTTCAGCGCAAGGCCAGTGCACTGCCACTTGAGCTACAGTGCCACTTCCTTTTTTTTTTGGTGGTTTATTGGAGATAAGAGTCTCACTGAGTTTCCTGCCCGGGCTGGCTTTGAACATGATCCTTAGATCTTAGCCTCCTGAGTAGCTTGTATTACAGCGTGAGCCACCGGCGCCTGGCTAACAAAAGCTTTTTTAAACAGTTTTTTATTATTAGAAAGATGATGTAAGAGGGGTTACAGTTACATAAGTCAGGTATGAGTATATTTCTTTTTGGACAATGTCACCACTTCCCTTGCTCTCTCCAAGTCTTTCCCTACAGTTCCACCCCACAAGTTGTATAGTTGTATATTTGTATATTTATACTATATTTTCAACATAGTATCTAGTGAGTACCACTGCTACATTTGACAAGTCTTTTGATTTCATTTCCCTGTAGTCTTTAATTTTGTTCATTTTATTTATTGATTGAACTATTTTTCTAATCCTGATTCATCACTTAGTAATTTGCCTTGATCAAAGAGATTATTGGACAATAGATAAGAAAAACACATCCTTGATAAAATATATTCCTGGTTGGGAAAGTGGCTTAGTGGTAGAGTGCTTGCTAGCATGCATGAGGCCCTGGGTTTGATTCCTTAGTACCACATAAACAACAACAACAAAAAAACTTAAATATATATATTCCTATCAGGTATGGTGGTGCATACCTGTTTCCCAGCTATTCTGGTTCAAAGCCATCCTGAGCAGGATAGTTGTGAGACTCTTATCTCCAATTAACCACCAGAAAACTTGAAGTGGTGCTGTGGCTCAAGTAGTAGAGCACTATCCTTAAGCTTAAGAGCTCAGGAACAGTGCCTAGGCCCAGAGTTCAAGCCCCATGACCGACCAAACAACAACAACAACAACAACACCAAATACAACCAACAATTTGGCTGATACCTGCTTTAATTTGTCAGGTATGTTCTTTATTCTCTGTCCCTATGTGTTATTTTATTTAGTATTTTACAGCATTTTATTCACAACACTGTATGACCCATAGCACTGCTTTGCTTTTCTGGTTATGTGCCTGGTTAAATATTTCATCGTAAGATATTCAGAGCTGTATTTCTGCCTATTATATTAACCCAGCACTCTTATTTAGTAGAGTACTTGTTAATTAAAATAACAAAATCATTCATAGCAACCTTTGGAAAAAGGTCATTTGTGAAAGAGTGGTAAATTTTTACAATGTTACAGTCCATCTTTGGTATAGTTTGTGAGTTAAGAGCCAGTAATCAGTAGAATTAATTCGTTTGACAAGTAATTATTGAGTGCTTATAATTTTTTTATTTTTTATTTTATGTTTTGGGGACTTGAACTCAAGACCTGGGAACTATCCTGAGCTTCTTTTGCTCAAGGGACATTTGAGCACTCTACCACTTGAGCCAGTGCACCACTTCCAGTTTTTTGTTATGTGGTACCGAGGAATCGAACCCAGGGCTTCATGAATGCTAGGCAAGTACTCTACCACTAAGCCACATTCCAGCCCTGTACTACATACCATTTTAAACACTGGTGACATGACATAAAAGCAACAAAAAGCTTTGTCTCTATTGAGTTTATACATTAATATATAGAAAAAAGCCATTAAATAACAAACGTCATCATGTCTGTCCACGTGAGATATTTCTGTACAGTGACTGTTAAAGTGTAAGTTTTGAGAAAGGTTAAAAAAAATGAACCGACCTGATATTAGAACCTTTGAATTCAAAGGTGAATCCTTAGACAAAACTTATGGACAAAACTTATGTGTATTCAAATGCCTATGAAAATTGAGGGAAAATTAGCTTCCTCCATGGTGGGAGAAAGGAAGTTAATGAAACTCTATTGTACAGCCTAGAATTCATATGCCTATAGATAAGTGTTATTCTGCATCATCACATCACTGTGATGTAGCTTTAGAAACTAGCTTCTGTAGAATTAGAATTAGGTGACCAAAAGATCTTTTCTTAACAATGTGTTTTATTCTATTGAGGTAGAATTCTTTCTCCTGTATGAGTTGCTAGAAAGCTTTTGTTTTCCAAGCACTTTAGACTTGTAGATAGGAGATACAAAACTGGATTTGATAGTGGTAGTACTTGGTATAAAATAATCATGCTGGGTGCCAGTGGCTCATGCCTGTAATCCTAGCTACTCAGGAGGCTGAGATCTGAGATCTGCCAGCCTGGGTAGGAAAGTCTGTGAGAGACTCTTATCTCCAATTAGCCACTAGAAAACCAGAAATGATCCTGTGGTTCAAATAGTAGAGTGCTCACCTTGAGCTGAAGAGCTGAGGGACAGTGCCCAGGCCCAGAATTCAAGTCCCATGACCAACAAAATAAATAAATAAACAAACATATAAATAATCACGAAGAACTTATAGCTGGTAGGTCATTTTCAGGCAAAGTGCTGGGAGCATAGATGAACAGAAAAAGCTAACGTGCAAAATAAAACCAAAATGAGAGTTGAGAACTGGGAAAAATCTGTCATTGGAAATAGTTGGGTTTCTTGGGGGGGCATCTAGGATGTAGTTGAAAATTTCAGAGATGGCATTCAGATAATTAAAAAACAAACAAACAAACAAAAAACAGCATCTTCCTCATGTTACCAAGGCTTGCTTTGAACTCTTGGGCTTAAGTGGTCCTCCCACTTCAGTCTCTCCAATGACTTGGATGATAGACATGGCTCACCACATACAACTCAAGATCACGTGAGTTTTATATCACAGTGTAGGCACTCAAAGTATGCTTCACTTATTTAAGACTGTTAGGATGAGTAAGCAATTAATTTTTCTATGACTCATTGATTTCCTTAATATGTCTGTCTTTTCTGATGAATTGTGGGAATTGAAGACAAGTATTTTAGATGTAGTGGGAAAAATCAGATTTGGTATAGCCAAGAAGATCTATTTAAAATCTGAACCCCTTCTTTTTCTAGCTGTTTGTCTTTCAGTCAAGTTATTTTTATCATTTAGAACTGAGTACTGGTATTTTTTCTACTTCCTTGTGTTTTCTGAATTTTCAAAAATTTTATTTTGAAGTTTAAAAAAGACAATTTCTCCCACCCCACTTCTCACTAACAGAATGGTGATTCATCTGTTTCTCTTACATTCAGCTTTTGAGAGAATTGAAGCACCCTAATGTGATCGCATTGCAGAAGGTGTTCCTTTCTCACAGTGACAGGAAGGTGTGGCTGCTGTTTGATTATGCAGAACATGACTTGTGGGTAAGTCTAAAATCACTCACTAAGGATTATTTTATGTAAATGAGAAGCAAATACTTAAGTGATACATACTGCTAATATTCAGAAAGCAAGCATGTTGTTAATCATAATTCAAAATAAGCATGATAGATGGAAATGTTTATTTTAAATAAAGTAAAAGAATAATCGGAAATGTATTGAGAAGGGAGTACTTGTAATGTTCAGAAGCTTCACTTCAGAAAATTTTAATGAATGAGAAATTATATTTTATGCAAGTAATGATAGTTTACTATTATATATAGTGAAAAAATAGTTTCTTTTGTGATTTTTTTGTCATATATGTACTTCAATGTACAATGTGTAAAAATTCAACAGTGTAACTTCAGAGTAGGAATTGGAGGGAGGAATGTGGGAGATACAATCCAAAAGGGTGACTAATCAAGATGCATTGTACACCTAACCTGATTTATGGAATTGTAATTTCTTTGAACAACTGCTTAATAATAAAATTTAAAAAGACAAACTTCTTGCATTATTTTGCCATGTAAAACTGTGTCCACTGATTAGATTTTGCAGATTTTTAGGATGTTGTGTGAATATATGACCATAAGAAGAAAGAAAATCTAATTCCTAACTTTTAAAATGAGGATTTAGGCTGGGTGCTGGTGGCTCATACCTTAATCCTAGCTACTCAGGGGGCTGAGATCTGAGTATCACAGTCAAAGCCAGCCAAGTCAGGAAAGTCCATGAGACTCTTATCTCCAATTAACTACCAGAAAACTGGAAGTGGCACCGTGGCTCAAATAGTAGAATGCTTATAGCTCAGGGACAGTACCTAGGCTCAGAGTTTAAGCCCTACAACCAACCCCCTTTCCCTTCAAAAATTAGGATTCAGGCATAGGAAACCATTTTGAGTGTTAAAAGTTAAAAAAAAAAAAGCCCACAAATTTGGTAGTAAATTCAAATTATGGATAATTAAGATTTAATGTGGTATGAGTTTATATAAATTATAAATTTGTTTAGCAATAACTTTAACAGACTTAATAAAACCTGAAGAAACTTTCAGTTCAGACAAATGTTTGAACAGGGTTTTTAATGACCCTTAGTGTCCATATTGGCATTTTTTGGACCATGGGTGGAGTGGTTGGGGATGAAGGTAGAGAAGATAGAGGTTGAGTGACAAGTAGCATTTCTTCCTTTTTATTACAGTGTTTCTTTCTTTTTTTTTTTTTTTTTGTCAGTCGTGGGGCTTGAACTCTGGGCCTGGGCGCTGTCCTTGCGTTCTTGAGCTCAAGACAAGTGCTCTGCCACTTCAACTACAGCACCACTTCTGGTTTTCTTGAGGTTTATTGGAGATAAGAGTCTCACGGACTTTCCTGCCTGGGTTGGCTTTGAACCGTGATCATCAGATCTCAGCCTCCTGAGTAGCTAGGATTACAGGTGTGAGCCACAGGCGCCCGGCTTATTACAGTGTTTCTTTTCTTTCTTTTTTCTTTTTTTGGTGGTTGTGAGGCTTAAACTCAGTGCTTAGGCACTGTCCCTGAGCTTTTTTGCTCAAGACTGGCTCTCTACTACTTTGAGCCATAGCTCCACTTCCGGTTTTTGTGTAGTTAATTGGAGATAAGAGTTTTGGGGACTTTTCTGCCTGGGCTGGCTTTGAACTATGATCCTCAGATCTCAGCCTCCTGAGTAACTAGAATCACAATCCTGAGCCACAGGTATCCAGCTTGTGTTTTGTTTTCAATTAGCATAGATTAGTTATACAAGGAAGGGTTTCATTGTGACATTTTTCTTTCTTTCTTTTTTTTTTTTTTGGGTCCGGTCGTGGGGCCTGAACTCTGGGCCTGGGCGCTGTCCCTCAGCTCTTCAGCTCAAGGCTAGCACTCTACCACTTGAGCCATAGCACCACTTCCGGCTTTTTTCTTTTTGCTTATGTGGTGCTGAGGAATAGAACCCAGGGCCTTGAGCATGCAAGGCAGGCGCTCTACCACTGAGCCACCTTCCCAGCTCCGTGACATTTTTCATGCATGTATACAATGTGTCTTGCCAACTTCATTATTGCAATGTTTTAGTAAGCCACAAGAGAAAGTGGGTATAAAAATTTGAATGTGGTCTTTTAAAACATTTATTTCAGGGCTGGGAAGATGGCTCAAGGTCGAGTGCATGGCTTGTATGCATGAGGCCCTGGGTTCAATTCCTCAGCATCATATGATGATGTGGCACTGTGGCTCAAGTGGTAGAGCACTAGCCTTGAGTTGAAGAGCTGAGGGACAGTGCCCAGGCCCAGAGTTCAGGCCCCAGGACCAACAAAAAGAAAAAAAAAATTTTTTTTTTCATTTTTTTAAAATTTTTATTTATTTTTTATTGTGAAAATACTGTACAGAGGGGTTACAATTACATGGGCAAGATAATGAGTACATTTCTTATCAAGCATTGTAGCCTCATCCTTTGTTTCCCCTTCTCATCCGTTCCCATCCCCCCCACCCCAATTCTCCCCGCCCCCCCCCCCCCCAAAGTTGTAAAGTTCCTTTTCGACATAACTTGTACTTCTCATTATTGCAACGGGTCCACCTGTATCCTTATTTAAACGACTTTTTTTTCCCCTTCCCCTCCACAAATTATACTGATATCAAATACAGTGAAAGCGGGGGTTATACTGTGGGGAAGGGAAAAATATTTCAGTGGGATTAAATTCTCTATTTTCTTCCTTCTTCCTTTTTCTCTATTTTTTTCTTTTTGTTTTTGGGGTCCGGTTGTGGGGCCTGAACTCTGGGCTTGGGTGCTGTCCCTCAGCTCTTCAGCTCAAGGCTAGCACTCTACCACATGAGCCACAGCACCACTTCTGGCTTTTTTCTTTTTGCTTATGTGGTGCATGCCAAGGCAAGCACTCTACCACTGAGCCACCTTCCCAGCCCCTTTTTCTCTGTTTTGATTTCTTGATTTTTCTGTTTTGATTTACTGATTCCTAGAAATAAACCTTAACTCATTTTGTGCCAAAGAAACATGGAACTTAATAATTTTAATGTCCAAATAGTGATGTTATCCAAATGCACTAAATACTATTTATAGAAAACACAGTTAAACAAAATTCTGACGATAAAAAATTCTGTTAGTAGCAGAAATGACTTTTATATATATCTATATATGTTAAAAAACCTATAACCTATAACCTATATATATATATAGGTTAAAAAAATCTATATTTTTCAGTTGTGGGGCTTGAACTCTGGGCCTGGACTCTGTCTCTCAGCTCAAGGCTAGTACTCCACCACTTGAGCCACAGTGCCACTTCTGGTTTTCTGAGTGGGTTATTGGAGATAAGAGTCTCACAGACTTGGGCTGGGAAGGTGGTTCAGTGGTAGAGCGCTTGCCTTGCATGCCTGAGGCCCTGGGTTCGATTCCTCAGCACCACATAAGCAAAAAAGAAAAAAACCGGAAGTGGTGCTGTGGCTCAAGTGGTAGAGTGCTAGCCTTGAGCTGAAGAGCTGAGGGACAGCGCCCAGGCCCAGAGTTAAGGCCCCACGACCAGACCCCAGAAAAAAAGAGTCTCACAGACTTTCCTCCTTGGGCTGGCTTTGAATTGAGATTCTCAGATCTCAGCCTCCATGTGGTGGCATGAGCCACCACCAGCATGACTAATATATTCCTTTTTTTTTGTTGGTTGTGGGGCCTGAACTCTGGGCCTGGGCGCTGTCCCTCAGCTTTTCAGTGCTCTACCACTTGAGCCACAGAGCCACTTCCAGCTTTTTCTGCTTATGAGGTGCTGAGGAATTGAACCCAGGGCCTCATGAATGTGAAGCAAGCAACCTACCACTGAGCCACCTTCCCAGCCCATGACTAATATATTCTTAGGCAGGCATTTAAACCTGGACTCATTTTGTGTTTTGCTTCTATTTAATAACAATATTGTTTTAATAAATGTGGCTATTACAACCCTATATTAATATTGGTCACATTCACCTCCAAAATAGATAATTTTGGTTGACCTTATTCAAGCTATTTTCTTTGTGTCATTATTGGTCTTTAAAAATAGTTTTTTTTTTTTAATTTGTTTTTTGTCCATCATGGGGCTTGATATTCTGGGTTTGGGCACTGTCCCTGAACTTTTGTGCTCAAGGCTAGTGCTGTATCACTTTGAGCTACAGCTACACATCTGGTTTTCTGGTGGTTAAAGTCCAAGAGTGTCTTGGACTTTCCTGCCTGGGCTGGCTTTGAACTGTGATTCTCAGATCTTGACATTCTAAGTAGCTTAAAAATAGTTTTAAAATAGACCACTTACAGAATAGATTTTGTTCTATTGGCATCTTACAGAGATTATATTATTATAGTTTGCTTTATTTTTAATTTTTAGCATATTATTAAATTTCATCGTGCATCAAAAGCAAATAAAAAGCCCATGCAGTTGCCGAGATCTATGGTTAAATCCTTACTTTACCAGATTCTTGATGGTATCCATTACCTCCATGCAAATTGGGTGCTTCACAGAGACCTGGTAAGTGTGTTTCTTTATAATTCATCAGTGTTATTTGTTCTATTAAGAAAGTCTTTTCTTGGTACATTTGTTTAAGAAAAAAATAGAAAACTTGAAAATACACACAAGATGGGCTGGGAAGGTGGCTCAGTGGTAGAGCGCTTGCCTTGCATGCATGAGGCCCTGGGTTTGATTCCTCAGCACCACATAAGCAAAGAGAAAAAAGCCAGAAGTGGCGCTGTGGCTCAAGTGGTAGAGCGCTAGCCTTGAGCTGAAGAACTGAGGGACAGCGCCCAGGCCAGGCCCAGAGTTCAGGCCCCACGATCAAACCACCCCCCCCCCCCCCCCAAAAAAAAAGAAAATACACACAAGCAAGAAGAAGGGGTAAAAATTCCCTTTAGACATACAATCAACATTTGCCAGTTAACATTTGGTCTGTTATTACTCGATTATATTTATGCGTAGCTGTAATATGTCCATATTTTTGTGTTTTTTTTTTTTTTTTTTTTTTTCTGCTCTTTAGGCTTGAACTCTGGGCCTGGGCACTATCCCTGAGCTTCTTTGACTCAAGGCTAGCCACTTCCGGTTTTTTGTGTAGAGATAAGAATCTCATGGACTTTCTTGCCTGGACTGGCTTTAAACCGCAGTCCTCAGATCTCAGCTCCTGAGTAGCTAGGATTACAAGCGTGAACCACCAGCACCTGGCCAGTATGATTTTTAATAAATGATTAATGTATAATTTTAGTGGAGTAGTTGCTATGTAAAGCAAGTCCATATAATTTTCATTCTTTTTATTCTTTCTCATCTTCAGTAAAAATATTAACAATTTAAAACTTAATAGCTGGGTACTGGTAGCTCATGCTTGTAATCCTAGCTTCTAAGGAGGCTGAGATCCGATGATAGTGCTTCAAAAACCTGCCCAGATAGGAAAGTCTGTGAAGCTCTTACCTACAATTAACAAGCAAGAAGCCAGAAGTGGAAGTATGAGTCAAGTGGTAGAGATCTAGCCTTTAATGAAAAAACTAAGGATCAATGCTCAGGCTCTGAGTTTAAGCCCCAGTACTGGCAAAAAAAGGGAAAAAAAATAAAAGTAAAACCTGAGTATTTGTGTTTTTCTTGTTAAGACTTAGGCTGAAAGAATGCCATTATACCTGGTGGAAAGAATGTTGTCACCAGGTATAATGGCATTCTTTCAGCCTAAGTCTTAACAGAGCCTAAGCTCTTTCCCTCTCCTCTTTCTCCCTTTCCTTTCCTTTGGCTTAAAGTCAGGGCCTGGCTGTTTCTAAGGAGCTATAGCTTCACTTTCATCTTTTTAGTGCTTTATTAGAGATAGAAGTCACAATCATTCCTGCCTGGCTGGCTTTGGACTGCAATCCTCAGATCTCAGCCTCCTGAGTAGTTAGGATTATAGAAGTGAGTCATTGGTATGGTGTTCTGCTTGATTTTACTTCTTACTTATTAAACCTATAATAAATTTGTTAATATCAAATATTATGCTTGGTGTTCATCTTTACATTGTTGTCATTTTAGTTGATATTGATGAGAGCTTTTTGAGGAGACAAGACTATTCTTGTGAGTTGGATATTTTATCCTACTACCACACAAGTGATTTCATGATCATGTATTGTTTAGGTTTTTGAGAAATTTTGGGATATGGTAGTATAAGTCTAGGTAGATTCTAGTCTTTCAAGAGAATTATTTATTACAGATAAGCTAAATACATAAAGATATCTGGTTAGTTGTGGCATTACATTGAGGGCAAATGATAGGGGCCACAAATAGTACAATTGTCATTTTAACAGAAACAATTTACTGTATCATTTTTACCTTTAAGGTTTTCAAGACTTTTATCTAACCATCTTTCTTTCTTTTCTTTTTCTTTTTTTTTTTGTCGATGATGGGGCTTGAACTCTGGGCCTGGACGCTGTCCCTCAGCTCTTTAGCTCAAGATTAGCGCTCTACCACTTGAGCCACAGTGCCACTTCCAGCTTTTTTCTGCTTATGTGGTGCTGAGGAATCGAACCCAGGGCCTCATGCATGCAAGGCAAGCACTCTACCACTGAGCCACCTTCCCAGCCTACCACCTTACTCTTGTGTTTTGTTTTGTTTTTGGGTCCAGTTGTGGGGCCTGAACTCTGGGCCTGGGCGCTGTCCCTCAGCTCTTCAGCTCAAGGCTAGCGCTCTACCACTTGAGCCACAGCGCCACTTCCGGCTTTTTTCTTTTTGCTTATGTGGTGCTGAGGAATTGAACCCAGGGCCTCAGGCATGCAAGGCAAGCACTCTACCACTGAGTCACCTTCATAGCCCGACCACCTTACTCTTAAACATGCTTTAAAATTGTTCTTAGGAATCTGAGGTTATTTTAAATCAATATTAGAGATGGGGTTTAGATGTTAATTTGCTGTACAATATATGAGTTATATTTCTAAGGTTATAATCACGTTTGAATCATTAACAAGAATCTTTTGTTGAGGATTAAGGGCTCTTATTTCCTAGTGGTAAATTTTGTTCTAAACAGAGTATTTTTAATATGTTTGTGAAGTTGTCATCTGACTGTCCACTGATAAAATTCAGTAGGACCAGGACTCAGTTTTCTCCTATCTGAATTAGCTACTGCTTTAGTGTCTTTTCTTTTGGTTCTGGTATTGTCTCTTCCTCTCACCTAGAAATTTCTTACCTATTTGCAGACCCTTCATTGCCCTCCAACTTCAAAGGTTACCACATTCTTTCAGTGCCATGTCTAAACTATTTTCTCTGAACATGTTCTCTATTTCCATGCCTATTGTTTCTTTCTAGTTTATGCCATTTTTGCTTTTCTTGTATTATGTACTAGTCTGTTAATTTGTCTCCTTGCTGATAATCTCTTTTCTTTCATTCCACAGTAGATCTGCTATCTGTTTATTTACTTAGTCTTTTTTTTGTCTCTGTATTTGATATTATGTTCTGAACTCGGTCTTATCCTTCTAGGCAGGGAATCTACCATTTGTGCCACTCCATCAGCCATTTTTGCTTTATTTTTCAGGTAGGGTCTTGATTTTTTTTTTGCTCCAGGCTAGCTTCAGAATGCTGTCTGCCTCCCTTCTATACCTTCTAGATTCCTGGGATCATGGTTGAAATGTGGTCTTGCTAAGTTTTTCCCTTGTGTTTCCTTGAACCATGATTCTCCTGATCTCTGTCTCCGAATACCTAGGATTATAGACATGAACCACCATACCAAACCTGAAATAGGTTGTCATTGACAAACTAAAGCTCTAGTTTATTTGGCTTTCAGAGTCTTATCACATAGAGCCCCAGCTGCTGAATTTGTCTCCATACTATCATCTTTCACCTACATTCTACTATCAAACTATTGAGTATTCCCCATATACTCATGAGATTTCATACCTCCAGTGGCTTTTTTTTTTGGGGGGGGGGGTCTGGTCGTGGGGCCTGAACTCTGGGCCTGGGCGCTGTCCCTCAGCTCTTCAGCTCAAGGCTAGCACTCTACCACTTGAGCCACAGCGCCACTTCCAGCTTTTTTCTTTTTGCTTATGTGGTGCTGAGGAATTGAACCCAGGGCCTCATGCATGCAAGACAAGCACTCTACCACTGAGCCACCTTCCCAGCCCCTCCAGTGGCTTTTATTTACCATTTTACAACTTTTTTGTTCTTGCCTCCATATATTCAAATGCTATCTGTCTTTCAGAGCCCAGCACAAATGTTAAAACTTATCCTCATATCCATCTCTACTTAGAAATAATCTCCCATTGTTACTGGATCCTGATATAGTTAATCTTTATTTGTTTATAATATTTATCTCTGAATATTGTAGTAATTGTTACAGGTGTCTAGAATATCTCCTATATTGTAAACTTCTTGAGGAGGGCAGGGTTGGTGTATTGAATGTACTTCTGACATGCCTAGTGCTAGTTTATATTTTACCCATGCATTTATTGAATGTGTCTGCTGTTTAAGTAAGTAACTCTGGGATAACTTACCTAGTTCTTTTCACTAATCAGGGGTTTTGATAGCTGCATCATATTTTCATGCTTTGCCAAAGTATTTTCAGTAGTTATAAACTCTGTGCTTTGCAGATATATTCTGTAACAGATAAAGAAACATGTGTAAAAGATAAATATAGCATTAAAATGAGATAATACAAATATTGAAAATGATTTTTAGTGAACTTATGAGTAAAAGTTGCTGCTTTAGTCAATGAATCAAAGGATATAGTGTGTTTTTTTGTTTTGTTTTGTTTTTGTCGGTCATGGGACTTGAACTCAAGGCCTGGGTGCTGACCATGAGCTCTTTTCCTCCAGGCTAGTGCTCTACCACTTTGAGCCACGGTACCACTTCTGGTTATCTGAAGGTTAATTGAAGAGTCTCATGGACTTTCTTAACCTGGGTTGGCTTTGAACCATGATCTTCAGATCTCAGTCTCCTAAGTAGCTAGGATTATAGGCATGAGCTTCCATTGCCCAGCTTTGGATATAGTTTTTTTGGTTGTTGTTGTTACTGTTGGTTGTGGAGCTTGAACTCAGGGCGTAGGCTTTGTCCCTGAGCTCTTTCCCTCAAGGCTAGTGCTCTACCACATTGAGCCACAGTGCCACCTATGCATTTTGAGTTGTTAATTGGAGATAAGAGTCTCAGGGGAACTTTTTTGGCCTGGCTGACTTTGAACCATAGTTCTTAGATCTCAGCCTTCTGAGTAGCTAGGATTACAAGTGTCAGTCACTGGTGGCTGGCTGAATATAATTTTTCATGCTTTATCTTTTACAGATATTTAAATATGTTCACTATCTCTAAATAAGCATTTGATATGAAAAACCTGAAAAAGCCACACAAGTAGAGTGTTAAATATAAATTTACAATATAATAACCAAGAAATTTCAAAAGTGAATAAAAACCAAAGTTTGAGCTGAGTGCTGGTGCTCATGCCTGTAATCCTAGCTACCTCAGGAGGCTGAGATCTAATGATCATGTTGGTGAGACTCTTATTTCTGATTAAACACACACACACACACACACACACAAACACACAC